TGGTGCCAACTCAACAGCTACTAACAACAACAGTGATGAATCTAATCACTTCTGAGATATAAAAAGGCAGAACAGACAGAGAAACACATGAAGGGGGTACGGAAGTGAAGAGACAGATGCCAAGGAACCCCAAAGAATGCCAAAGAAGTCCAAGGAATTCCTGGGGCTACCAGTAAAGAAGGACCTCCCCCTAGAGCCACTCCCTTGTGGTATATTTGTTAGAGCAGCACCAGGTAACAAAGCCATCACTAGTAGAAATTATCATCTATATTTATTTATATTCTGCTTCCCTCACTCAGCAAGGAAAGGACCACATCTTTCTTGCTCACCCCTGTATCTTCAGGGCCTAGAAAAAGGCCTAGGACAGGGCCAGGCGTTCAGTCAGCATTCATTGAATGAGCAAATGTAGAATTCTCAACTCCAAGCTCCCTGAGGGTAGGGCCTGGTTACTTCCTGAAAGAGCCAGCACATAACACCTGTGAATAATATTCATTGATGTTATGTTATGTAGGAGAGAAAGCTCTAAGCTGGAGACCAGGGGACTAGGGTCTGGGCCACTCATTTGATCTCGCATTTGGGGTCAAAGTGTTCCCTCTCTTGGCCTTCCCTGGAGGGTGCTGTGCTTGGATTTCTGAGGTTGTCCATGTACCCACTCTAGGATTCAATGAACTAGTGGCCAGGACATGCAATACTCTGGGTGTCCAGTAACATCATTCACAGTTTGACAGCAATGTGGCCACCTGCCCACTCTCTTGTCCCATGTGCCGAACTGTGGCTGTCCACCTACCATCTCCACCTGGAGGTCCTTGAGCACCCTGCACGTAAAGGTGAATCCAACACCGGAGTCATCATTTTCACAAACCTATCTTTCTCATGTGCTCAGAGAATGCAGTACTGTCCACTCAGGCTCTCAAGCCAGAAACCTGGGTGGTTTCCACTCCTCCTCTCTTGCTCTCCCCTCTCAACCAGTCAGTCAATATCTTGACTGATTTTACCTCCTGGGTTACTTCTGAATCCATTCCTTCCTTTCTCTCCTCCCAGCACCACACCAAGACAGGCTCTGTCCATCTGGACATCTGTAGGAAGCTCCTAACTGGTCTCCCTGCCTCTGTTCTGTTGTTGTTGTTGTTGTTATGTGCCGTCGAGTGGCTGGTGGGTTTGAACTGCCTCTGCTCTGGCCCCCTCCCTTCCCTCCCCGTAGCAGCCACAGTGAGCTTTCCAACACCCAAAATGCTCACATCACTGCTTAAAATCCTTAGATACCTTTCCACAGCGCTTAGGACAGTCTTCAAACATTTTATTACCACCCACCAGGAACTTCATTATCTGGTCCCTGTAACAATGGCATGAGGGAGGCATCTTGTGAACTCCTCTAACTTCACAAGAGAAGAAGAGGATCAAGATCAATAGTCCAAGGCTTAGTCCTATGAGGTGGAGGTCAGACATGCCTCCACTCTCCAACTTTTTATCAATTCTGGCACCAACTGCCCCTTCCATGGCACTCTTTACTTCTCTTCTGGGTTTGATAATTCATTGCAATGGCCACACAGAACTCACAGACAATACAAATGATTAAGGAGTTTATTGGGGATGTAACAGGTTACAATGCAGTCTCAGAAACACCACAGGATACAGTTCTTTGATCAGGACAGCTTCTTCTCAGCAGTGTCCACACATACGCCTCTCTCTGGGCCTCTCTGCCCATGGTTCCTTGGCTTCTGTCCTGCCCAGGCAAGTATTACAAAGCTCTTTTAGCTCTGCCAGTAAGTGCCTGAAGGCACCCTACTGCACTAGTAAGCCTTGGCCCTGAGATGCTCAGCTTTTTCACTCCATGGGTCTGGAGTCGCACTCTCTCCTGCTTGGTCTCCTGGTTCTGCTGCTGCCATTTCTCTGCTGCTGCTTCTTGCTCTCTCTCCAATCTCAGCAAACTGTTACAGCTCTCTCTCCTGGGTTGAGGAGGTTCTGCGCAGGGATTTCAGGTCCAAGGATACACTCCACTCCCAGTTCTCTCTTAATGGTAGTTAATATCCCCCTTTTCTGCCTCTGGGATGGTTCATTTAAAGTCTACTGGGACAGCAAAACTGACCAATTCCCACGTTAGGGTTCCATACACCTTATTTGCATGGTGAAGAGCTCTGGTAGCATAATGGCTAAGGCACTTGACTGCTAACCAGAAGGCTGGTGGTTCAAACCCACCAGCTACTCCTCGGAAGGAAGGTTGGGCAATCCTACTTCCGTAGTGATACTACCTTGGAAACCCAAGGAGGGGTCGCTATGAGTCAGGGCTGACTCCACGTCACATAACAACAATAACAACAGGAGCTCTGATGGCATAGTGCCTAAGGCATTTGACTGCTAACCAGAAGGCTGGTGGTTCAAACCCACCAGCCACTCCACGAAAGGAAGACTGGGCAATTTACTTCCATAAAGAAACTTGGAAACCTTGGAAACTCAATCGGGGTCACTATGAGTCAGAATCAACTCCATGGCAGTGGGTATTTGTTGTTGTTGTTATTTGTTTGTTTTGTTTTTTAATCCAATCCCCTTGGTGGGCCACAAGCACTTCACATTTACATAATCTTACCCAGTCATTTGCTGGGAATTACAAAGACTATGGGAGCTCTGGTAGCATAGTGGCTAAGACACTTGCCTGCTAACCAGATGGCTGGCAGTTCAAACCCACCGGCCATTCCTCGGAAGGAAGGTTGGGCAATCCTACTTCCATAGTGATACTGCCTCGGAAACCCAAGGAGGGGTCACTATGAGTCGGGGCAGACTCGACGGCACATAACAACAACAACAACATGGCTAGAAAGGCCATGTTAAGTAATTCACTGCACAACAGTCCCACTCATCCCACCTCTTACAGCCCCTCAGCCCCTAAACTCTTCTAGTTGTTCTTCCAGTTCCCCAAATGCCCCATGCTCTAACTCATGCCTTCAGCCTTTGTACAGGCTATTCACTCTGCCTGGTATGATTTTCCTTCCTAACCCCTTCAGATTTGTTTAGAATCTCTCCCCTGACTACACCCTTCATACACACTCCCTTAGGTGCCTCTACTAATCCCATGAACTCTATGTTTCACCCATCATGTTGTTGTTGTTGTTATTGTTGTTGTTGTTAAGTGCCGTAGAGTCATTTCCACCTCACAGCGACCCCATGCACAGCAGAATGAAACACTGCCTGATCCCGCACCAGCCCCACAATCCCTGCTATACTTGAGCCCATCATCGCAGCCACCGTGTCAATCCATCTCGTTGAAGGCCTCCCCCTCTTTCATCGACCCTCCACCCTACCAAGCATGACATCCTTCTCCAGGGAATGGTCCCTTCTTACAACATGACCAAAATAGGTGAGACGAAGTCTGGCCATTCTTGCTTCCAAGGAGCATTCTGGCTGCACTTCCTCCAGGACAGATCTGTTAGTTCTTTTAGCAGTCCATGGTACTTTCAGCATTCTTCGCCAGCACCACAACTCAAAAGCATCAACTCTTCTTCGGTCTTCCTTATTCATTGTCCAGCTCTCACATGCATACGAGGCGATTGGAAATATCATGGCTTGAGTCAGGTGCACCTTAGTCCTCAAGGAGATATCCTTGCTCCTCAGCACTTGATACAGTTCCTTCGCAGTTGACTTTCCCAATGCTGTTGTTGTTTGTTGTTATTTGCCGTCGAGTCAGCCCCGACTCATAGCGACCCCTCCTTGGGTTTCCGAGGCAGTATCACTACGGAAGTAGGATTGCCCAACCTTCCTTCGGAGGAATGGCTGGTGGGTTTGAACCGCCAGCCTTCTGGTTAGCAGTCAAGTGCCTTAGGCACTATGCTACCAGAGCTCCTTACGTCGTCGTCTAATGTCCTGACTGCTGCTTCCGTTGGCATCGATTGTAGAACCAAGCAATGTGAATTCTTTGGCAACCTCAATCTTCTCTCCATTTATTGTGATGCTGCTCATTGGTCCAGTTGTGAGGATTTTTGTTTTCTTTACATTGAGACGTAATCCATACTGCAGACTGTATTCTTCAACCTTCATCAGTAGGTGCCTTAAGTCATCCTCACTTTCAGCAAGCAAAGTTGTATCATCTGCATATCTCAGGTTGTTAATGATTTTTCCTCCAATCCTGATACATTTTTCTTCATATAGTCCAGCTTCTCGGATTATTTGCTCAGCATATAGATTGAATAAGTGTGGAGAAAGGATACAACCCTGACGCACTCCCTTCTTGATTTTAAACCATGCAGTGTCCCCTTGTTCTGTTCCAACGACAGCCTCCTGGTCAAGGTACAGATTCCTCATGAGTACAGTCAATCACCCATCATAGCCCCTTTCATTCTAATTGCCTGGTTTTATCTCTCCCTCACTACCTCCACTTGACCCTGAGGGCTAGACTGCATCTGCCTTGTTTACTCTCAACAAAAGCAGAAGGCTTGGTAGACATTCGGGACTCTGCAAATATTTATTGAGTGAATGACACTCTGACTGCTGGGTTAAAGTTTTAGCTTCATCACATACTAGCTGTGGACCTTGGGCAAGTCTCTTAACCTTTCCTGCCTCCTTCTCCTCATCTGCAACATAGGGACAGTAATAGTACTTTTCTTGCAGGGTTGTTGAGAAGAATTTAGCACTTAGAAGAGCATTTGCACATAACAAACCCTCCATTGATTTGAATAGTATTAATATTATTTAAGGCAACGTTTTCATGAATCTCCATCCACTCCACTGGGAAAGCCCAAGTATAAATGGGCATCCATTCCGGCTGCAGGATAGTCACATCTTAGGACCCCGCTGGACGCCTCAGTGTCTGGTTCGCGTTTCCGTTTGCGTCTTGCAAACTGCCAGGGCCCACCTTGGACGCTGATACTGACGCCGCGGCCCTTTTAAGGAAGAGGGGGAAGAGCCCGAGAAAGCTCCGCCTCCGCGTTTAGGTCAACGCGCACCGCTGCGTGTGACGCTCTGGTTGCCGCAGAGACGCCCCGCCCCCGCGCGGCGCTGCGGAACCGGAGCTCCGGGCGGCGTCGGCAGCAGCGCGGGAGGCGGCGAGGCAGGGGTGGCGGGAGCCGGCGCGGCGGCCGCAGCGAGAGCCGCGGGGACGGAGCAGACCACGACGAAGGCTCACAGGCAGCCGGGCCGGGCCGGGCCACGGGGAGAGCGGCCGCCAGGAAGCGGGCGGGAGGCCGGGCGGGCAGCAGCCAGCTGCCGAGCCGCGAAGCGACATGGTGCTGCTCAAGGAATAGTGAGTGTCCGGCCCGCCGTGCGGGAGCGAAGAGGGAGAGAGGGACGGGGATGACGGCCGGGGAGGCTGACGCCCCAGCAGTGGGGATGCAGTGGCCGGACGGGGACTCACTCGAGGGGATGGAGAGCTCTGGATGGGTTCTTGGTTGGCCCAGCAGGGACCAAGGGGACAGCGAGGACTGGGTAGGGCCCGAGGTGGGGCCGAAGGGGCATAGAAAGGGCCGAATAGGCCTGAGGAAATGCCTAGGGGACAATGAGAACCGATCAAGACCTGAAGTGGGGTCAAGAGGACAGTGAGAGTTAGACAGGTCCTGAGGGAGGGCCTGAGAGGACAGTGAAGGCCGGTCGGGGCCCGAGGAGGAGCCGAGGGAACCGTGAGACCTGGACAGGACCTGAGCGGGGATTGAAGGCGTCGAGACCCTGGATGAGCTGCCTGGGGGTCTTGGTGGGGAGCACTAAGGGGTGATGCAGGGGCCAGCCGAGAACTGCGAGAGGGGCTTAAGGGGACTCAAGGAGAGGGAGGAGTTGTCTGAAGGGCTGAGGATCAGTCACACAAGGGCAGGCAGGGTTGGAGTGGTGGGGAAGGGTTTGAGAGCTGAGCAGTACTAACAGTGGCAAGAAGCAGAATGGAGTTGAGGTGGTAGAGGAGTGCTGAAGGGAACCTGGGGTGTGTATCTATGTATCAGAGGAAGGATTGTAATAACTAGACAGAGGAAAACGGCTAGGGAGAGTCAGGGCCAGATTTGGGTGACAAGGGAGGCAGCCGAAGAGACAGAACACAGGGGACTGAGGTAAGGAGTGGCTGGAGTGACATAGTGTTCAGGTGGTAGGTGCAAAAGAGGAGGCATTTGGGAAGAAGCTGGGATGACTGGGAGGTACTTGGGAACATTTGAAGGGTGCAGATAATATTGGACAGGAACTGAAGTGATAAGAGGGAGTTATGGTGATGGAAGAGGCCAGGATGTTACCAGGATAGAGGACAGTCCTGAAAGAAAGTATGTTTGTGAATGAATATACTTGTTAAAGGAGCGGGGCCAGGAACAGCTTGTCTCTAGGGTATTCTCAGCCTTGGTGCAAAGAGATGGGGAAATTGCTCTGAGCACCTAAGGTTTCCATGAAGCCCTTAATGGAGGAAAGATTGAAGGGTGAAAGGGTGAAGGAGTTCTTGAGTAGTGACTCCAAACTAACTGCCGTCGAATCAGTTCTGATTCATAGTGGCCTCCATTAGGTTTCTGAGGCTGTAAATCTTTATGGAAGTAGATAGTCCTATCTTCCTTCTTTGGAATGGCTGGTGGGTTTGAACTACCAGCCTTCTGGTTATCAGTCAGATGCCTTAGGCACTACTATCACCAGAGCTCCTTTGAGTAGTGATTGGGGGGTGGGAAATTGGTGACTCTTGGTGGGAGTTGCATGGAGATGGGTTTGCTCCTAAAACCCCATGGATTGGGTGACAAGTGGGGGTGTTTAAAGTTTGGATTGCTAGATCTTTCAAGTATGGGCTGACCCATCCCTGAAGCTCATGGCTGCAAGTAAACATTACAGGAGAGATTAGATGGGTGTGAGCAAAGTGTACAGTGAAGTTGTTCTGCCCTGGAGGTTGAACAAATGGGCAGCATTGGAGTGGAAGCCTGAGAGGCCTGGGAGTGGGAGGTGTCCTAGTGGAGAGCAACTGGTGGGACTCATTTCAGGGCCAGGTGGGTGTGCAGAAGACTGTTTGCATTCTGTCGGTGAAGACACTTTGCCCTGTCCCCACCAGACTTACTCCTTGCAGGTGTTTAGAACATTTAGAATGTAGTGTGTGGAACTTTGGATAACAGAAGGAACAGAGACCCAGGCATCACCTCAGGTGATGAGCACCTCATCTGAAGAACATGATTTTGAGGCCCCTTCCCCTCTGTTCCTTGACATCCAGCTTAGAGGTTTATATGGTGAGGAGGAGGAGGAGCCTTGGAATCCAGAGAGAAGGCGAGCATGGTGCACTTCGGGTTTTCATCTCGAATGTCCAGACTGATGGGCTTTTCTCATCTTCTTGATCCTTTTTCCTATTCCCAGATACATTTTAGAATCTGTGGAAAGCTATAGTCTTTTAAAGATCAGGCAGGGAAAGGACGGACCCTTCAGAAGAGATCTCTGAGTGAGTTTTGAAGAGAGATACTTCCTTCCCACTCTTTGTTCTCCTCTTGAAGCTAGCAGGGCAGGTCCAAAGGGCCGGGGCCGCAGAGCCTGCCTGGCATCCGCATTTCCTTCCTGACTTGTGCCCTGTGTACACTGGGCCGGGTCTGTGCATCCCTGGGGGGGGCGGGGGGGTTGCATCTGAGACACTGAGCTGTGGCTGCGGTGCTGCTGCTGCAGCTCTGGGAAGGGTGCGAGTGAAGGTCACACTGAGTGAGCACAGCTCCTTGAGTCCTGCCTGACCCAGCAGTACATCTGTGGCTCAGTCCTTTGGAATTACACCCTCTTGCTGCTAAGGTGGTTTTGCTCCCGAGAAGCAAGGGAGAAGGGTCTGGGTTGGCAGATGGAAAGTAATAACCTCAGGGCATCCTGCTGGAATTGGCCAGTGCCGATCTCTTTTTGGGGGAAACTTGGTGCCCACCTGGTGTCTGAAGGTTATCCCTGTTGATTTTTCTGACCCTTCCTTTAGCAAGATTCTCCTTGATTTGATTCCTGCATATTCTTGGATATGGTTTTTGCTGCTGTTCTTGAAGATAAAAGGCTCATTGTTTTCTAGGAAGTTTCTTCTGAGGGTGCAGAAATTCTGCCCTCTGAGTTGGGAGTATTTTTCTGCACCGTAGCCTTTCTCTACTAGGAGGAGAATGTCAGGGGCAGAATTCTGTAAACTGGAGGAATTACATTACTTGACTCATTCTAGGGGAGGGGAGTTGTTGTCAGGCAGTAAAGACTTGGAGCCCATTTTATTTTTCCTGCTATTTTTCTGTGTGATGCCTTGCCTATAATGTTTTTCTCAGACTCCTATGTATGCTTCTTGCTTCCTGGGAGACTTTTGTGGAACTAGAAAATAGTGAGCTGACTATTTACCAGCAAGGAGACAGATGCGGCCCCCCACACACACACACACACATAGGAAGGAGGGGATGGCCGCTCATGCTTCACCATGGAGAGGAGAGAAAGGCCCAGTGGGTTCCAGCCAGGCTCTGGGAACTGACTTGACTTATATCAGTACACCAGGGTTTTTGCCTCATCTCCCTGACCTCACAACTTTGACCTAGGGGTTAACTGTTGCACTGCGTTACAAACACAGGCACCCGGAGGAGTGCCACTAACTCTGGAGTTCTAGCCACTGTGAGGACTTCTCTATCAAGTTATGGCTAGTACCTTCCACAACGGCAGTCGTTTAAATGGAGAAGAAAGTAATCAGTTAGGGTGCTTTTGGACAGCTTCTGGAAGTCAGAACATAAGTTGGAGTCCTCATTTGGTGGCTTCAAGATAGTAGCTTGTACTGTCCTATCCTGCCCTAGAGCACAGATGGTTGGTGCATGCTCTTAGGGTGTTAAGCCTCAGGAAGCTAGCCCTCTTCCTGCTTTCACCTTGGGGGCTGTTGTTGGGAGGTTAGGTCCACAGAGATGTAAATCCCAGGGTCTGAATCCTTACCTTGGTTTCAGAATTTGCAGGGGTCGGTCCTTCTATGTTAACCTCTCTGTTCTACTAAACTCACTGACAAGTCTTGTTGTGGAAAATATGAATGGAGGAGGGGAACTAAAAAAAATAAGGGCAGCTTCAAATGTGAGTCAGAGACCTAGGCAGTAGCTGGTGAGGGACAGGTTTGCTCTGAGTCACAGGGTTCTAAGTGGGGTGCCAGAAGGACACAGGGTCCTAGCTGCTGGGGTTTCTGGACAACGAGTGTATAGTGTCATGGGCAACACAACGTTTGATACTGTTCTAAGATGATGCTCTATGAGCCTTGGGCAGATTTCAGACCCTTAAGTTGGTACTGTTTTTCCTGTCTTTCAGTCGAGTCATCCTGCCTGTGTCTGTAGATGAGGTAAGTCCTTTTTCTTTCTAGTCCATGGTTGTGTATGATTGCTTATGACCTTTGGCTAAGTTGGGCTCCCTTTGTTTTGAAGTAGAGGTAACCAGTTCTCCATGTGAATTTTCCTGGTACCATTTTCATTGCAAAGTAGGCACTTTGTATACTTGGGCAGTTGTATGCATACTGCCCCCAAACCATTGATGTGCTGCATGACTAGAGATAAAATTAACTCTTTTTACCTGCTGGGAGGGTGCTTGTTTCGGGCATGTTATTGATGGTATTAAATGTGTGCTTTTCTAGGACCTCCATGACTTGCCTAGGAAGTATACGTGGCTGTCTCTGGTTGTGCAACAGACTAGCAGGACAGGAAGTCTGTAATGACCTCCCTAGGCACTGTAGGTGACTGCTAGGAAGACTAAGACACAGAACCTTCCTTTTAGAGAGAGCAAAAAAAGAAAAACAACCAAACTCACTGCCATGGAGTTGATTCCAACTCATAATTACCCCCTTTGGGTTTCCAAGGCTGTAAATCTTTATAGGGGAGCTCTGGTAGCATAGTGCCTAAGGCACTTGACTGCTAACCAGAAGGCTGGTGATTCAAATCCACCAGCCACTCCTCGGAAGGAAGATTGGGCAGTCTACTTCTGTAGTGATACTGACTCCGCAACCCAAGGAGGGGTCGCTATGAGTTGGTTCTGACTCAACGGCATATAACAACAACAACAACAACAACAAATCTTTACAGAAGCAGACTGCCTCATCTTTATTCTGTGGAGTAGCTGGTGGTTTCAAACCACTGACCTTTTGGTTAGCAGTCAGATGCCTTAACCACTATGCCACTAGAGCGCCTTGCTTTACAGAGGGCAGGAAATAACAAATGTTGGTTTGCCCTCTGTCCTTTTATGGTTCCTAGGTCTCATGTCCCTGTGTGTGGGAATCTGGCAGGACGTGTGCCATGAGAAGGTTCATAGGCCATGCTGACTCAGAATTGGTCTCTTGGATGGCAGAAACCTGTCATGGAGCCTCCCTTGTCCCACCCTGTCTCTGAACTTCCTCTCCTCTCCTACTTTAGCTTGCTCTCTGCTTCCTTCTGACTCCGCAGGCCGCTATAGAAGGTGTCTAGTCTAGTCAGGACGGAGCCTGGGTGCAGCTTGTCAGCCAGGTCAGTGCCCTCAGTTACGGGGCTTCATCTCCCTTTCGTGCAGTGTCAGCATGAAGGTCCTGTTCCAAATATGAAATGCACCTTTAAAAAATGCAATCAGGCCAACAGAGCCCGCAGCACTCTTTAGCTGAGACAGATACTCACACTTCCAAGCCCCCAAGAAAGGTGGACTGGTACACAGTTCTTTGAGGATTATCCCAAGTGTTGGGCTGCATATTTTGTCAGAGCTATGGAGACCTGGGAGGGGAGCTTGAACATGATCTGAAAGTTCTGGGGAGGATAAAATACAGGAGACTGGGGAAGAGAGGGGGTAGGTTGGATATATGCTGTGATCCCTGGAAGCACCCAAGATATACCTAAGGTCCAGGAAGTAGGTGTCTGGGTTGATAGGTGTTGGCTAGGGGAACCCTATTAACTCACCTCCTTTGGGGGCCTTACCATCATTACTAAAAAGGTAATGATTTTCCAAATCAGAGGCCACAGCATGAAGGCCTAACATGTCCCTTGCCCTGAAACACAAGTTTTTGGGTTTCACCGACTTCCTCTCTGTCTGTATAGGATGTTCCTGCCCCCTAGTTAGGAATGATGTCCTACAGGAACTCAGGGCCACTACAGTGTAGTGTTTAGGGGTAAAATGGGTGCTTGTCTGTATCTTTCTACAATGAGTTCCTGGATGGCATTAGGGATGGGAGTATCTCTGAGAAGTGCTACAGACCTAACACTGTCCTTGGAGCACCTCTTGGATACTTTGTAGTGAGGCTAGAGGGGCTTACTTTGAGCCCAGAAAGGGAGCATTGAGGGCATCCAGAATTGCCTGTTTTTAGTTTGTGGTGTTTTTTTCTGCAGAATTGAGGAAGTAGTAGGGTGGAATGATCAAAGCCTGAAGTCTAAGCCCCGGAAGTCTAAGTCTGGGAAGTAAGCACTAGTTAGGATTCATCTCTCTGCCAGGTGGTGGTCATCTGGTCTTAGCAAGAAAACCCTGAAGTCGTGGGTAGAGTGGAGGCAGGCTTGAATCTTGGTTCCAAAAGATCAGAAAGTTGAATGGTAGGGCTAATGAAGGAACAAGTAATGACTGACCTTCTCAGAGTCTTTGTCAGTATACCCATCCTGACTCATGGTTCCCATGGGAACAGCCCCACATCATGCCACTGTTAGATTCACTTCCCAAATTGGAGGCTATGACTTGAGGAGCTTTCTGAGTTTGGGGAGAAAAGAGAAAGCCTTGTCTTTTTAAAAAAATTTTAAATTTTTACTGTGATTTGAGTGAAAGTTTACGGGGCAGATTCATTTTCCATACAGCAGTTGATACACATTTTGTTTCGTGACACTGACTGTAAGCCCCATAATGTAACAACTCTCTTCCTACTTCTCCATATAGTTACCTCTTCCCTGTGTCCTTCTTTCCTGTACATTCCTGCCCCCTGAGCTATCTCCCTGTGCAAATACTGCCCTTCTGATCTCCCATGATTGATTGTTCTAAGGAGTGTACCTATCTGGTATAAATGTTCACCTTGTAAGTCTGTTGTTTGAGAAGGGCCTGTCTTTATAACCATTCTCATGGCCTAGATCACTGTCTTGGGGGAGGAATTAGCTTCTGGCTGACTAGAGCCTTTGACCTTAACACTGCACAAGGTGTCTAGGCATTTGGAACAGAGCAAGAAAGCCTTGGCTGTTTGACATGGTGAATCCACCAGTGGTTCTTGGCTCAGGTTTGTCCACTCTTTTCCCACCCTCTACTGTCTTAGTCATCTAGTGCTGCTATAACAGAAATACGACAAGTAGATGGTTTGAACCAACAGAAATTTATTTTCTCACAGTTTAGGAGGCTAAAAGTTCATAACATTCCACCCCAAAATTCATAGTCCTTGCCACATGTAAAACACATTCACCTCATCATATCATCCCAGAAGTCTTAAATCCAAGTCCAGATTCCATCCTGGGGCAAAATTCCTCTCCATCTCTGAACCTGTGAAATCTAGGCTCTAAGTTATCTGCTTTGAAAGTGCAATGTAGAACAGGCACAAAGCAGGCATTTCCATTATAAATGGGAGAAACAGGAGGGACAAAAGGGATAAAGGGCATCAAGCAAGTCCAAAACCCAACAGAGAAATTTGGATTAGCTTCCAAGCCTTGAAAATAATCTTCTGTTCTGTGAGACCATCTAGGCAGTGGCCCTGCCCTTGGGTGTTGGCCATGTTCTCTGAATTATGGTGTTGGCGAAGAATATTGAATATACCATGAACTGCCAAAAGAACGAACAAATCTATCTTGGAAGTATAGCCAGCATGCTCCTTGGAAGAAAGGAAGGCCTCTCAGAAGGAAGGGATGAGACTATATCATGTACTTTGGAGATGTTATCAGGAAGGACCAGTCACTGGAGAAGGACATCATGCTTAGTATCGTAGAGGGTCAGTGAAAAAGACCCTCAATGAGGTGGATTGACACAGTGACTGAAACTGTGGGGCTCAAACATAGCAACAGTTGTGAGGACGGCACAGGACTGGGCAGGGTTTTGTTCTCTTGTCCATAGGGTCTTTATGAGTAGGAACTGACTTGACCTAACAGCAGCCTAAGATCACTGGGCAGGGCTGTTTAACTTCTCCTTTCCAGAGATGCGAGACACCTTCCCCAGTGGTATCCAGCCCAACAGGGCCATGTGGGTAGGACCAACAGCTTTACTGTTTTTCATGCTGTGTTTCACATCAGTCTTTCAGGCCCACCTACTACATTGTCCTGGGCTGCCACTCCCAGATTGCCAAAACAGTGGTCTCTGCTTTCCTAGCTGAGTTACTTTAGTTTTTTGCATAACGGAACAAATCCCAAGGACAAGGAGAATTATCCTAGGCCTGAGGAGGTGGGGCTCCCAGCCTGTGGGCGCTTCATCTGATTCGGTGGTCTGACCTCCATCTTCACCCCATCTGAATCTGGCTGCTTTCCAGGGTGTGCAGCAAGTGTGCCGGAGGGAACCCTCTGACGAGAAAAAAAGTTCCCCTCGCTTGTAGCTGATGGAGGCCAGTCTTACCCCTTGGGGTTGACAAAACTGCCTTCATCTGTTTCATTGGGATTAAAGATCAGAATATCAAGAGAGATTAGAGGGGGAAGAAGCCAGCTCAACAGGCTGATCCTCTTAGAGGCTGCCCTCCGACTCCTGCCGCTGAAGAGGAACCAAATAAAGGGGATTAGTCTCTGCCAGAGGCCCCCTCCCCAAGCAGCACCACCAGCCAGCAGTCATCTCCACCCTCTGCCCAGTCTGCCTTTTATGATTGCTGAGTCAGTGGTTAGATGTTCTTAGGATGTTTCGGAAATGGAGTTACTACTCCTCCTTAGGAGCTCTGGCTCAGACAAACCCTCACCCACTTTGCAGTGGTTTTATGTGTGCCTCGGCCAGGCAATGGGTTTAGAACAGGGATACCTTGGGGTTCCATGGAGGCATTGAGGAAGCACTGACGATGATCAGGATTAGCAAGGTCAAGGTGACTGGCTTTCACCCAGATGTTCCTCTTTATGGGATTAACTGAGCCTTGATCACCTGCCTGGCCCTTGCCTTGGCATTTATATGGATTTTTTGCTCTGGAAGTTAGGGTGCTTTCAGCTTTGTGGTGAGCAGTGGCTCGTCCTGGTCTGCTGCTTCACCTTTCAGACTTGCACAGACATTTCCCTGCAGTGCCTAGGATGCTGCCTGGTAGAACAGGCTTCTGAGTTCGAGGTGAAGCAGTCCTGAAAGCTGCCTCTGGCCCTTGTTGCTGTAAGCAGTGGTTGAAAGTGGCTGTTGCTCAGAGACACGGCCTCACTTTTAATCTCCAAAGAGAGAAAAACCCTTGTCCTTTGCCCTGGGAGGACCAGAAGTTTGGGGAGCAGAGGAGAGGGAGGGGAAAACCTCTGCATTGCTCCCCATCCCCCAACACGTTGAGTAATCAAGTATCTTTTTTTCTTTTTCTCATACTCCTTAAGCTGTTGTGCTTGGCTGGCACTGGTAGTGATAGGGAAGTGACATCCCTCAGTCTAGGCATAACTTGCTGCATTTAACTGTTGCTATTCTTTTTTTTTTTTTCCTACTTCGCTTTTCCCTCTGGACAGCTTTCCTAAGACAGGATGGGGCAAAAGGGCTAAGCCTGGGCACCGCCCAGGTCATTGGCCCTAACACTGAGCTGTGCTGAGGGGGTCAAAGAAGGCCAGTGATCTTGACTGGTGACTTGATAGGGTGGCATGTGACCCAAATAAAGGAAAACCAGGCTTTTGCCATCTAGTGGGTGCCAACACAGAGGGTGTCCCCAGCCAGCACAGCCTGTGGGGTAGGAATTTGTCTAATATGGGAGACAGCAGTACTTGCTTCAGCCCCACCAGGAATCTGGAAAGCTCCTAGAGCTTTGGTTGCCAACAGGATTCTTCTTTGAGGTGCTTGCAGCGTGAGGAGAGACCCAGCACTGGAGGAAAAAAAACCAAGTAGATGAGGCAGTTTGACAGCAGAAGTTGTGGATTCCACAGAACAGTGGGCAAAATTCTTTAAAAAGACGTCTTAGGATCTGTTTAAATGGATAGAATAAAGAGGCTTCTGGCCACCAACCCAGATCGTGTTTTGGGATCTTAATGCCAGGGGCAGGCCTAGGACAAAAGCTACCTTGGACTCTGTAATGTGTTTTCTGGATGGTGGTATGAGATTAAGTATATTCACCTGCCTCTTTGGTCCGGGTAAACCCTGGTGGATGATGGGAAAAATGAAAAGGATGAAATGAAACACATCTGATGGAGAAAGAGAGGCTGTGGAGAAGCAGTCTCAGTTGTTGTGAGTGGGTTTGGGCAAGGCCCCACGTGAAACTCCAGAACGAGCTGCTTCCTGATGAGGGCATCCCAGAGTGATGTAACTGGACCGTTCCCAACCACTGGACTGTGTGTAACTGTTGAGAAGATTCTGTGTTGAGAATAACTCTTGTCTCTCTGTTCTGTAGTATCAAGTGGGGCAGCTGTATTCTGTGGCTGAAGCCAGTAAAAATGAAACGGGTGGTGGCGAAGGTGTGGAGGTCCTAGTGAACGAGCCGTATGAGAAGGATGGCGAGAAAGGCCAGTACACACACAAGATCTACCACTTACAGAGGTATGTGACTACAGCAGCAGGGCTGAAAGGTGGCCTGCTTTTGAAATGGAGATAATGGGTAGTTGGGGTTGTTTCCAGGTCATTATCTGGTTGCTCAGGTTGTTTCACCTGTGAAAGTGGGTGTAGGTAGTACTCTTGAAGTTTTGTTGTTGTTTCCAATTGAAAAAGTAATACATGCCCTGCCAGGCTCCCAGTCCCCAGAGGTTTAGTTTCTTAGGATCCTTCCCTTGTCTGTGCATGTACAAATACAAGATGGATGTATGTGTATGGATGTATAAATGTATGTTGATTCCTTTATTGTTACTTTACATAGATGGAATCATACTATTCATGCTCTTCTTCATTTTGCTACTTTGTTACTTATTTATTAACTGTCTTTTCACCATCAGCATATCCAGCTCATTCTTTTAAAGTACACATAGTATACTATTTTGGTACTCATTTTCAGATGTTTACAATAGTGTTCCAGTAAAAATCCTTCTGCATGAATCTTGATGATAAATCTACAGTAAGTGTGTCTCAGTGTGGAATTTCTGGGTCCAGTAGTATTCTTTAAAACTCTGATAGATACAGTGAATCAGCTCCCAAAGAGATTTTAGTAACTCTCTTTGGTTCAAAGGCATAAATATTTAAAAGAAAACCTTGAACTGATTTGTGTACCACAATCTGTAGCAAAACCACACACATTTGCTAAATCTGCAACCAAGCAATATTGAAAACAAGAGTAAACATACAGCAGCTTGAATGGAAGCACAATCAAGCTAGTTTTAAAAATTACCCAGAACTGGACAAAATAAATCTGAATCTTAATTGCTAATCACTAAGCTGAGCTGAAACCAGTTGTGTTTTCATTTGGTGAAATCCCTGATTCAGTGTGGTCTGCTGCTCTGGCGATGTGAAACGCTGGCCCAGAGGTACCCAGGGTTTTGTGAGTGCCAGAGCCAGAGGAGAACAACACTGTGAAGTGGGGGGAAATCTTTTCACAATGTTCCCATTTCCTTATCAGTGTGCTCCTTCTCCATCCCTGTTCTGAGTTGACTGCCAGCCAGTCCTTACTGAGGAATTAAGAGTTGGTTAAGGTTAACATGAGATTCAAAATAGGTCTCCCTCGTAGTGTACTGGTATTTTGTAAAGAGGCCTTTGATAAGAGATGGTGAGATTGAGATTTTACACAGAAAGTACCAGTTGGTTCCTCAAGACTCAATTGCCCTAATCAAAGTGGCAGAGAAGGGGTCTGTATATGATGAAGGTGGGAGCCTGTCTACCCGTCTTACCACTCCTCCTCCTCCTCCTCCTTAGAAGAGTGTGAATTTTGAGCTGCTACCACTAATCTTTCCTTAACACCAAAAAAAGAAAGAAAGAAGCACCAACACTGCTGTGACTACCAAAACCACCTCTCCTCATAAGGAGAGTACGTTTGGTCTTACACTGTGCATTTTGATATATTGTTGGAGGCATCTGCTTTGTATCTTTGCCTGCAGGCCAGTGAGCTCTGGAAGAATGTGTAATGACTGATGAGCGAGAGCAGGTAGCCTGAGGGTCTGACCTGCTGTGCTGTTCTTGGTGCAGGTAGTGGGGCAATTTGTGGGTGGATGTTCGTAGCCCAGTGGAGCTGAGATGGCAGCCGCTGTGATGTTCTTCATCCCTCAGATCAATTCAAGTTCTGTTGATTCTGTCTCCTTAATATTTCCAATGTTTCCATCATCTCTTTCCTGAATTACTGCAGGAACACCTAACTGGTCTCCCTGCCTTCCATTCAGTTCAATATTCTGTCTAGAAGACAGATCTGTTACTGTCATAGCATAAGGGCTATATAGATGTTTCCCTTTGCTCTCTGGATAAAGTCCATACTCTGTGATACAACCTATCAGATCTATGGCTTACTCTACCTGTTCTCTTGCCAGTCCCCGTCTTATACCCTGTACCAGCTACACTGAACTTCTCCTATCCTTGTCTAGCTAAGTCTCAGTTATTCTCCACGTGTTCCCTGAGGAGCCTCCCCAGTCCACCACACCTCCCCCCATGCTCTCCCAGTGCTCAGCAAAGCCTCGTGTTCACTCATTGTGGCACACACTTGTCATTTGTGTGGTTGGCTGTACTCCCACTACACTGTTGAGTTCCTATATGTATCCCTGGTGCCTGGCGCGTAGACATACGCAGTATGTCAGGAGTGAATGAACCTCAGAGGAGGTGCTCTGAGTGAGCTCTTCCTGGAGCTCTTAGGCTTGAGGCACTAAAGCTGGTGAGGTGGTTGGAATCTGCTAAAGGCTATATAGGTTACCAGTTAAAAATCAAGGAAGAAGAATATATGCACTTTTGTTTGGTCTCATATTGTACATTTTGTTCTGTAACCTGAGATAAGAAATAAAGAAAATGGTTTGTCCTGGAAGGCATCTGGCCTTGAGGCCCTCCTGGCTTCACAGAACTAAGGAAGGCAGATCAGATCATCTTGAATCCTATGTATGCTGAGTTAGTCATCTAGTCACTCTGGCCCATAAACCTAGACTGGTATATTCCTGAAGGCATCTCCTTTGTATCTTTGCCTGGGGGCCAGTGAGCTCTGGAAGAATGTGTAATGACTGATAAGCCAGAGCAGGTAGCCTGGGGTTCTGACCAGCTGTGCTGTCCTTGGTGCAGGTAGTGGGGCAAATTGTGGGTGGATGTTACTAGCCAGCAGAGCTATCAGGCTCTGGCAGGTGACTTCTTACATTCAAGAATAATCTGCTTATCTCATGGAAACTTGCTCATCTGGCCTCCACCATGAAGCTGGAGCTGTGGCCTAAAGAAAGTGATTTAAAAAAAAAAGAAATAACCCACTGTTACCTTCCCTTCTCCTCCATTTCTCTTTATAACCCCTTTTTCTCACTATAGCAAAGTGCCCACGTTTGTTCGTATGCTGGCCCCAGAGGGAGCCCTGAATATACATGAGAAAGCCTGGAATGCCTACCCTTATTGCAGAACCGGTGAGTGCAGACCCAGCTAGAAGCTGGAGGCTGGGCTCCCAAGGTGAGCCAACGGTGTGGTCTCCCAGGTCTGGAGCTGGGTGCAAATCTGGGTTTTGTGTCCCACCTTTACTTTCCAGATTAAGCAAGTGAAAGGATGAGGTTGGGCCTCCCTTCAGTCTGGTCATGAGTATCACAACTTGGCAGCCTGCTGGGTGGGAAACACCACATACTCATGACCTGAGGTAGCCCAGAACCCATTTTATTTGAGGATGGTATGGTAATTTAGATTGTTTTTTTTACTGATTACAAAAGTGGTGTTCTCTGTATAAAATTTAGATGATACATGAAACAGAAGAAAGTAATCATCTGTGATTCTTCCATTAACTATTAGTGTATTTTTATCTGGTTCTTTTATCTATGTCTATATAAACCAGAACCAAACCTACTGTCATTGAGTCAATCCAACCCTATAGGACAGAGGAGAACTGCTCCATAGGGTTTCCAAGGCTGTAAATCTTTACAGAAGCAGGCTGCCTCACCTTCCTTCCAAGAAGTAGCTGGTGGGTTCAAACAGCCAACATTTTGGTTAGCAGCCAAATGCTTTAACCACTATGCCACCAGGGCCCTTTATGCTCATATAGATATATATACATAAAATATGTGTTGTTGTTGTTGTTATGTGCCGTCGAGTCGGCCCCAACTCATAGCGACCCCTCCTTGGGTTTCCGAGGCAGTATCACTACGGAAGTAGGATTGCCCAACCTTCCTTCCGAGGAGTGGCTGGTGGGTTTGAACCGCCAGCCTTCTGGTTAGCAGTCAAGTGCTTTTAGCCACTATGCTACCAGAGCTCCCCTATAAAATATGTGTATGTTTGTGTAAATAATCTCCGGACACATTTTCTAGACAAAACTGAGATCACATGATACTAATTTTTTAAAAAGTTTTTATTGTGCTTTGTGCTTTGGGTAAAATGAGAGCAAATCCATTTTCCATTCAACAATTCATACACATTTTGTTTCATGATACTAATTATTAAATTACTCATTTTTACTTAACATTTTGCATGTCACTGGGTAGTCTGTTTTTTAAGGAACTTTTAATGGCTGTATAGTATTCCATTATATAAACTAGTCTCACATGGGACTATGAACTGGTCTCCCATGCATACTGAAATTTCCCATTTTAATGTGATGTATTTGGTGGCGTAGTGCCTAAGGCATTTGACTGTTAACCAGAAAGTTGGCGGTTCAAACCCACCAGCCACTCCACGGAAGGAAGACTGGGCAATCTACTTATGTAAAGATTTACTGCCACGGAAACCCAAAGAGGGTCGCTATGAGTTGGAATAGACTCGATGCAGTGAGTTTGGTTTTATTTTTATTTGGCTTAAAAAGCAGCATTGAGGTCCAAGAATTCTTAAGAGAGTCAAATGGCCTGTAGGTTGACCTTCCTGATGGAGCTAGGCCTAGCCACCAAGAAAAAATAACAAGGAAAAGCTGCTGTTGGTTTTTTTTGGCGGGGGTGGGGGGGGGGGGGAGGTGGGAGGAGTTGAAATAAGTCAATTTTTTTTATGATAAAGGATGACAGCTGTACCCAAAAAAGGTAACACATGGAGTATGCATGGCAGGTGACTGTTCTTTAGGGAAGGGTCACTGATAAGAGCTCAGAGCCCAGGCTTACACTGAACCAGCATGTTCTACAGTTGTGGGGTTGTGGGAGTAGAATTAATTTCTTAATCCTGGCCTACTTCCTATATGAGTTTCTGGGAAGGAAAGGAAAGATTTGAACCTCCACAGAGAACTTTCTCTTTTAGTCTAGATATTCTGAGATTTGAGTAGTTCAGACTCCTAGCTCTCCCAGATTCTGTGGTAGGAGAGAGAAGACCCTAAATTCAAACATGTGTACAGATCCTTTTATTAAGCCTTAGACAAGACAGAACAAAGATAGTCGTTCAAGATGAGGGAAACCATCAGCATGTACACAGTAGAAGCCAGTGGAGTCTGCTGAGTCACAGTCGTGGTGGTCATTACGTATGATAGAGAACGAAGGAGATCATCCCAAGATTGTGGTGGTAGGTCAGTACTTCACTGTTGCAGGCGGGACTATAGGTAGAAACAGGGAAAGGACTGTGATTGGGACATATGCAAAACTGAAAATTAAGAAGGGTTACAAGATGGGGCTTCTGGGGCTACATGGCGGTCAGAGTATGACTCATGACCTTGCAGCTCTGAGTCATAGCCACAAGGTGGCTACAAGGCAATACCAGGACCCTGACTTCAATTTAAATTTGATAAGGATACAGTCAAGCAAGAAGTCCATTATGTGAGCATAATCTATTCTCTTCAGAAGGAAGTTTGGGCAATCTACTTCCGGAGTGATACCCTTGGACACCCAAGCAGGGGTCACTATGACAGGTCCACTCAACAGCACATAACAGCAACAATCTCTTCTCAGCCATACTCTTCCTGAGGGCAAACTGCCCCTCCCTAGGTTTGTCCCAGACTTGTCTGTACAGAGCCACTTTGCTGGTTTAATGGTTAGAAAGAACTCCAATGGTGTCTGAACTTACATTAAGACTCAAAATGGAGTTAGGGCTCTCACTGCGGACTTCCACAATCCATGCCCTTCAGAATTTAAGCTCTAATACAATTCCTAGATCTCAAAGGCATTTAGGAGGAGGCCTCTTTGAAGGGCCCATGCTGATACTGATCCATATCCCACAGGAGTCCTTAGAGGTTCCCTATAACTTGTCTAAGGGAACTCTGGTGGCGTAGTGGGTAAGATAATTTGACTGCTAACCAGAAGTTGGTGGTTCACACTCACCAGCTGCTCTGCAGGAGGCAGATGAGGCAATCTACATCCTTAAAGATTTACAGCCTTGAAAAAAATGCTATGGGGTTCACTATGAGTCAGAATCAACTTGATGGCAGTGTTGTTATGTGCCATCGAGTCGGCCCCAACTCATAGTGACCTCTCCTTGGGTTTCCAAGGCAGTATCACTACGGAAGTAGATGGCAGTGGGTTTGGTTTATAACTTGTCCATGGGGAGTGTGGTTGTCCTCCAGCAACTTCCATTTGTTGTCACAAGCAGTCTGGCTGTGGAGTCTTTCTGCTGCCTCTACTTACCTGTAGTACTTCACTTGCTTTATTTATTGGGACCTGACATTCCTTAGGAGCCCTGGTAACACAGTGGTTAAGTTGGTGGTGTGAACCCACTGGTCACGCTCCTGAGAAAATTGTGGCAGTCAGCTTCTGTAAAGATTTGTAGCCTTAGAAACCCTATGGGACAGCTGTATACTATGAGTCAGAATCAAGTCCAGGCAATAGGTTTGGTTTTTTGTTTGGTTTGGCACTCCCTAGATTGTATCTGATGAGAATCCTCCACCTGTGTGATCCTTATCCCGAGGACTTTGGGAATGAGTAAAGTCCAACACACAAGGTCATTGCTCTCTCCAGTCCTCAGTGGCCCCACATAGGTTCAAGAACCTTGAACCAGAAGATGCATAGTCATTGGTAGGCCCTGGGGAAGGAATGTATAATGCTGAGAGTTTTATTGCTGTAGCTAAAAATGCTAATATCACTACTCCCTAAACATCAGACAGGAAGCTGTTAAATTCTTAGAAACAAGCCATGCATATACTTTCTTAAAAGACAGTGTGCCATGTGGCTGGGTGTGTCTGGTCTAAGGCCAAAGGTGAATTATCTTGATGTCTAAGAGGGTTGCAATGAGCATGCATTATAAGAACTTTATGCACCTTGATAAAGGAGGCAAATGGATAGCATGGACTTCTCCAGGCCTGGGCAGTGTTCTGGGTACATACCCGATGCCAACTGAGAGATGCCACTGTCCTTTGTGTAATTCTGGGGAGAGTGTGTGCAGTTGACATGGTCATTTTTCTCAATAGCAAATGTTAGTTCATATATTGTCCTGATCGTTGGCCAAAGGAAAATTGTAATTTCTAGGTAGTCTGTTTTTTACGAAAATTTTAACTACTTCATGAAGTAGAGAGGCAGGCAGTGGAGAGAATGAAGCTAAGTAAGTGGGTGCTGAGTTCACATTCAGAATCCAGCATCATATGAGTGAATATGTTGAATCTTAGATCTCTTCAGTCAGATACTTAGGGGTTAGGGGAGAGAGATGATTAGTTCAAGCATCTTTATTTGGCCTAAGGAGATCAAAGTGTCAGATGAGATGGATAAAGCAGCGTGGAATAAAATTCCCCATAACTTTTGGAAGGCTCTAACCTTAATTCTAAGTGGAATGAAAACAGATTTGGAATGCACTACTTGTTATCAGCACTTTCTGTCTTCTTATTTTATTTGGCTGTTTCTTTTCTCCTGAATTTGATAGGTTGAGACATGAGGATGTGGTGAGATGAGAGTTGATCCATGAGTAAAAGAGGAAAAAAGATCCTGTTCCGTTTTCTTCGATTTCTCCTTCTGATCTTAACCTTTGGCTGAAAACAGTATTGCTAAGCTTTGGTGGTTTTTTTTTTTTTAAACTGTCATGACTCAGATTTCAATTCTGACTCATAAGAACCCTATAGGACAGAGTGGAACTGCCACATAGAGTTTCCAAGGCTATAAATCTTTATGGAAACAGACTGCCTCATCTTTCTCCTGCAGAGCAGCTGGTGGGTTCAAACCACCAACCTTTTGGTTAGTAGCTAAATGCTTTAACCACTGCTCCACCAAAGCTACTTATGGTTTTAAAATACCTTATAATTGTTTTACTTGGAGAGCCCATATTTTACTACTGCAGAAGCTTTCCTGAGACTTTCCAGTTCACTTACGGTGTAGTCTGAAGAAAAGGAAATGCAGTGAATGCAGAGGTGTTTGAGCAGGCAGGCTACAGAAGGTTTGGGGAAGGTTGTTTGTTCACCCAGGTTAGCATTAGAGGCCAGGAGGTTCATCATCCTCAGAGGTTCAGAAACATAATTTGTCAGAACTGGGTGGATCTCGGGGTCTCATAGAGACTGTATAAACCTCCAAATGCCAGTCTGTGGAATTACATCGAAATACAGAATAACTAATGAAACCATGCATTTCTCTTTGCTGATTAGAACATTCTTTCCTTGTAGACTCTTCTACATGGAAACTAAGTTATAATCAGAATGCCTCTGTATTAACTTATAGTGAAAAATACAACTAAACAGATTGGACTCATGTTCATTGGTTCGCACATTCTGTCCGTGCAGGACCCAGACTAGAGATGGTTGCTTGAAGAGCACAGACTCAGAATAGAGTGGTTATAGTGGGGATCTTAGCAGCAGCGTCATCAGCCCCCCAGACCCCCAAGAATAGAGTGGTTTTAGCGGGGATCTTAGCGGCAGCGTCATCAGCCCCCCAGCCCCCCCCCCAAAAAAAAAGTTGCCATTGAGTCAACTCTGACTCCCAGCAATCCCATGTGTGTCAGAGTAGAGCCGTAATATTTCACAGGGTCTTTAATGGCTCTGATGGTGTAGAGGTTAAGGCAGTTGGTTGCTAACCAAAAAGTCAGTGGTTTGAACCCACTGCCGTGCCATGGAAGAAAGATGGGGCAGATTGTTTCAGTAAAGATTTACAGCCTTGGAAACCCAGTGGGGGTTGCTATGAGTTGGAATCAACTCAACGGCAGTGAGTTAGGTTTTTTGGGTTTTATGGGCAAAATACTGAACAATGTAAGAAGCATCAAAAAAGATGGTAAGAATACACAGAGTCACTATACCAAAAAGAACTGGTGATGTTCAACCATTTCAGGAGGTTGCATATGATCTAGAATCAATGGTATTGAAGGAAGAACTCCAAGCTGCACTAAAGCTACTGGCAAAAAACAAGGCTCCAGGAAATGACAGAATACCCATTGAGATGTTTTGACAAATGGATGCAGTGCTGGAGGTGCTCACTCATTTATGCCAAGAAATTTGGAAGACAGCTACCTGGAGGGCTGACTGAAAGAGATCGATATTTGTGCCCATTCCCAAGAAAAGTGATCCAACTGAATGTAAAAATTATCAAACTCTATCATTAATATCACACACAAGTAAAATTTTGCTGAAGATAATTCAAAAAACAGTTGTAGCAGTACATTGACAGGGAACTGCCAGAAATTCAAGCCAGATTCAGAAGAGGACACAGAACAAGGGATATCATCACTGATGGCAAGTGGATCTTGGCTGAAAGCAGAGAATACCAGAAAGATGTTTACCTGTGCTTTATTGGCTACACAAAGACATTTGACTGTGTGGATCGTAGCAAGTTATGGATACCATTGCAAAGAATGGGAATTCCAGAACACTTAATTATGCTCCTGAGAAACCTGTGCATAGATAGACCAGGAGACTGTCGTTCAGGCAGAACAAGGGGAGACTGCTTCGTTTACAATCAGGAAGTGTCCCTCAGTGTTGGATCCTTTACCATACTTATTTAGTGTGTATGCTGAGCAAAGAATCCAAGAAACTGGACTAATATGAAGAATGTGGCATGAGGATTGGAGGAAGACTCTCTTACGACCTGTAATATGCAGATAATCCAACTTTTCTTGCTGATAGAGAAGCAAACTTGAAGCATTATTGTTGAAGAACAAAACAACAGCTTTCAGTATGAATTACACCACAAGGTAAAGAAAACAAAATCCTCACAACTAGACCAATAAGCAACATCATGATAAACAGAGAAAAGCTTGAAGTTGTCAAGAATTTTTTTTTATTTGGATCACAATCAATGCCCATGTAATCAGCAGTCAGGAAATCAAACAGTGTAGTGCATTGGGCACAACTGCTGCAAAAGACCTCTTTAAAGGGTTGAAAAGCAAAGATGTCACTTTGAAAATTAAGGTACGTCTTAGCCAAGCCATGGTATTTTCAGTTGCTTCATAATGCATGTGAAAGCTGGATAATAAAGAGGAGTGAAGAAAAGTTTATGCATTTGAATATGGTGTTGGCGAAGAACATTGAATATACACCATGAAGTGCCAGAAGAACGAACAGATCTGTTTTGGAAGAAGTCCAGCTAGAATGCTCCTTAGAAGTGAGGATGGTGAGACTTCATCTCACATATGTTTTCAGGAAGGACCAGTCCCTGGAGAGAACATGCTTGATGGAGGGTCATCAAAATAGAGGATGACCCTCAATGACACGGTTTGACACAGTGTATAATGGTGGACTCAGACATAGCAACTATGCTGAGCATGGTACAGGACCAGGTAGTGCTTTCTGTGCTGTACATAGGGTCGCTGTGATGGTACCTAACAACAACATACTCATCATCTCCTATTTTTTAACATGATTTTCTTCAAGCTGAGAACAGGGAAATTACTTAGATACAGGTCTTTCAGTTACATTCTTTATCAGGTGATGCCTTACAAATGTGTTTCATTGAATTTGGGGAAAATGATTGACATACTGTTAGGTCATTGCTGTAGATAGTGGTTTTATCCCTTATCTTTCAACTTTCCCTTATTTCAACCTCAGAGGTGACCTAGTTTTGTTTTGGAGTTTGACTGTTAGCCCTATATTCTGTCCAAACATGGTAGTGTGACATTTATCAGAAATGGAGATCAGTCCTAAATTCAGAGGGTATAGGAGGAACTGGTCTATTGTCAGTAGAAGAGCTTGTCCATTGCCCAGTGATATAAGAGCTGCAGTCATTTTCTCGGATAAATAATTGAAGTGCGCTTTCCGAGGGGTCTCATTACAATGAGCAGGAGTGCCGAAGGTGAGAGGTTTGGTTACAGTGCGAAGAAGGATGTGGCAGGCACATAGACAGCGCCTGGCCTGACCTGTCCCCCTCTGTCCACGGGGGGACCCACTGATGCTCTAACAACAGTGATGGATCACAGAGCTTCCGCTGACCAGAGCTGCCCCTTTCCTGGCCTGGCTGGACAGAATCCAGAGAAGCAGACAGTGGCATCACTTTAATTAAATCCCAGATTTGGTCTTTTGGGGCTTTTGTATGAGTGAAACTTGAGGGTTGGTGAATTGATGTATTCCTGCCTCATTGGGCCTTGGGGGTGACTGGAATAAGCCTCAGGGAGTGGAGAAGCCTTGCTGTTCCTGGCTGCTGGGGAGAGGGGGCAGAGATTTTTTTCACCCTCACTAATCTTTTTCTCTCTTCTTTCCATGTCCTGGCCCTGGAGCAGTTATTACAGTAAGTATTTTCAGAGGGTTGGAATTGTAGATGATTTGTAAGGAAAGAAGACATTAGAAAATGTAACTGTCCTGGAGGCTCCTGAGTGTTCTGTTCTTTCTCTTGGGTGAGTTTTGGAATTATTGAGGATTCATCCTTTCAGTCCTACAAAAAGGGTAAGGAGGCCACATCTTCCTACCTCCTAACCCCATTAGAGGAAGACAGAATCACTATCAGTAAGCCAAGGCCTATTACTGCAAGGCCAGACATGCTGCCTCCCTCTGGCCACTTCACCAACCGTTCCTTCCAAAGCACCCACCACCTCTCTCCTGGGTTTGATAATTCACTGCAGTGGCCACACAGAACTCACAGATTACAGGGTTTATTAGGGAAGCACCACAGGCTACAATTCAAGTTCAGGAAAAATGCTCAGGCTCTTTCCAGCCCACCGTCCCTCAGCCAACAGTCTCTCACAGTCTCTTTCCCAGCAGTGCGTGTCCCTCGGTGTCTCACTCAGCAATGCGTGTCTCTTGCGGCTCTTTCCCAGCAGCACGTGTGTCTCAGGAGCGCGTGTCTCTTTCAGCAGCACATCTTCCTCAACCAGCAGTCCTCTAGAGAGTTCTGCTTCTAGGAGGGCTCCTTTTGAACTCGACAGAATGGCCAAACCAACCAATCATAACATCAGAATTCTAAACACTGGGAGAGAGTGGGAACCTCCCAGAACATTGTTTAGTGCCACGCCCAACCGAAATACCCCAGGTGGACAACTTTAATAATCAGGAGCTCCTCAGTTGCTCATGGCAAACTCCACCTTGGAATTTACAAAAGACTTATGGGTAGAAAAGCCACACTAAGTAATTAACTACACTGCAAGTCCTGATGAGGAATATGTTCGTGGACATAATGATCTCTTGCTTCCAGCTGCATTCGTGTTTGGCTTTCTAGGGTGCAGCAGTCAGGACCCCAATATGCAGCTCTGGCTCTTGAATATATAGCATGATTTGGTCCTTCTCCACCCTCCCCAGGTCATGCCTTCCCAGGGTTGCGCAGGAATTTCTGTTCCGCTGACCTGGTGGCTTCTTTTCCCCCTTGGGCACCTTGTGATCCCAGTCAACCCTGACCCTTGACTTGTGAAGTCAGTAAAGTTTTTTTTCATGACCAGCCCCTCTGTCATTAACCCCTTCTCTCTACTCTTCAGCTTCCTCATCCAGGTGCCTTATCCCTGCTAGGAAACGAGGATCATTTCTGGGATATAATTTCTGCTGAGGTGTTAATGGGTTAATGTGATCCTCTTTGAGTAGTTAAAATTGAAGGGTCAAATTCTAAGAGAACTTCAGGCCTCAGCAAAAGGCTAATGGGGGGTGTTGTGTATTTGTGGTTGTTTAGGAAGTCTCCCTTGTGTTCCTCCCACACTCCTAATTAATCATTAGTGCCTTATGCATAAGCCAGTATGGCAGTGGTTAAATTCCTGGATTTTGAAGAGACATCTGTATTTGAGGACTGGCTTAGTCATTTATCATCTTTGTGGCCTTCAACAAGTCACCTAACCCTTTGAGCCTCACTTTCCTTATCTATAAAGTGAGGGTGCTATCACTGTAGACCTCACAGTCTGGGATTAGGATTAAATGAGATAGTGCATGCCCAGTAAAGTTAACTTTGTAAACCAGACACTGAGTCTCCTGACTGCTCAGGAAGCAGTAATGAGAGATGATTACTCTCCTGCTATGAGCTTGGTGACTGACTGTAAGGTATTTTTTCCCCCTGCAGAATGAGTACATGAAAGAAGACTTTCTGATTAAAATTGAAACTTGGCACAAACCAGATCTTGGCACCCTAGAGAATGTAAGTAACACTTCCCCCAGAACGGCAAGGACTTCCAGGCCCCAGGGCAGAGACTCTGCTCTGCAGCCCCTGTGTAGCTTCTCCGTCCCTGACATGAAGCCCCTCTGCAGTCCCCTCTTCCCTGGGCAGGAAGGGAGTGGCCTTGGGCTGGAACTGTCCTACCAGCATGAGGTCACTCTGCCTCTAATTTACAAAATGTAACCTTCAAGACTCCTTGCAGGGCTTTCTTGGAATGCCCGGATTGGTCTAAAATGCAATTCCTGGTACAGAAGAAGTGTATTTTTAACACATCAAAATTACCACCTCTGTAGTTTGCCAGTAACTCCCAAAATTTAAAATACACTTACCCATCATCCTGGCAATCCCACACCTGGGAGTTTATCGTACGTTTATGTGATTCTTGTATATGACATATACAAGGACATTCATTGTAGTATTCTTTGTACAGCCAAAGATTAAAAACAACATAAGAGCCCATCAGTTAAATAAGTGGTGGTGCGTCCATGTAGGGGAATTCTAAGCAGCCATTGAAAAGAACCAGTAGGGAACAGTTTTCAAGATGTGTTGTTCAGTGACAAGAATAGGATGCAAAACTGTGTGTGTGTGTGCGCACGTGCTACCATTTGTGTTACAAGAAATACCCACACACATGGATGTTTGTATGGGCATAGAATCTGGTGATGGGGTGTTATTAGGGAGGGGATTGGGAGACAAACCCAAGAGGAAGAGTTACGTTTTATTACATATCCCTTTGTGTGTCTTAATTTTGTACATGAAAACTACCTTACAACCTTTTTGAATTGATTTTTTTTTTTTTAAATTGTGATTTGGGTGAAAGTTTACAGAGCAAATTCACTTTCCATTCAGCAGTTCACATACACTTTGTCTCATGACATTGACTACAATTTACCACAATGCAACAGCTCCCCTCCCACTTCCTCCCCATAGTTAACCTCTTCCTTGTGTCCTTCCCTCTGTGCCCTCTTGCCCCCTTGAACTGATTTTTAAAAAGCATCAAAGTAAGCAGTATGTAACTGTACAGGCAACCGCTCCCTGAGTGTTCCCTGGCTTTGTAAAGGAGGCACATAGGGAAATAATGTAAGTGTTATAGGTAGTTCCGAGGGTATTTGGGCCTACTGAAGTGGTGTACTTAGCCTGAAAAATCAGAACATTTGTGCTCAAATTTATTTTCACTTAAAATTTATTCTCCCAGTCATAGCATTGGGGATCCTGAGCTTCTGTTAAGGGTGGTGGGAAAACTTGGAAATGGATAATGGTGATGGTTGAACAACATGATGAACATAATTAATGTCTGAATTGTACATGTGAAGAATGTTGCGTTGGCAAATGTTCAGTTACATATGTATTTACCAAAATGTAAAAAAAAAAAATCCATTCTTCCATTCCTTCAGATAATTTCATGTGGAATTCTTTACCAGGAGGAATCTAACGTCTATGACTATGGAAATAGCTGTTCCTAGGTGTCCATTTTGGGGCAGGGGTGCTTGTAGCTGACAAAACCCACACAGCAGTCCACCTTCTTCCGGCAGGTGCATAAACTGGAGCCCGAGACATGGAAACATGTGGAAGCAGTATATATAGACATTGCAGATCGAAGCCAAGTCCTTAGCAAGGTAGGGACTGTTTAAAAATGTGCGGCGGTGTTTAAGATGCAGAAATGACCATACCTTGACTCGAAAGGCAGTTCTCTCTAGTGTGTAGTATTTTGTTTTATTTTCTAAAATTAGTTTTAAGAGTTTCCTTATTTTGACTTGGGGATTGAAAACGAAACAAAACTCATTGCCACTGAGTTGATTCTGACTCATGGCAACGCCATGTGTTAGAGGATAGAGCTGTTCTATAATGTTTTTTTGGCTGAATATTTATGGAAGCAGGTCACCTGGCCTTTCTTCCCTGGTGCGGCTGGATGGGTTTGAATGGCCAACCTTTCAGTCAGTAGCTGAGAGCAAGCTATTTGTTTCACCCAAGGACCTCGACTCAGGGATATAGTGGCGCATATCTATGTGTCCTGTTTAGCCTCTGGAAATTATTATTAGTATAGGCATTGTAGGTAGTCCCAAGGGTGCTGTGGCCTGCTGAAATGGTATTTAGCCTGAAAAATCAGAGCTCTCATTCTCATTCATTTTTTTCCAACCCAGTAATTTAAAAAATATTTATTGCCTGACTACTCAGTTGGAAATACTCTGTTAGGTTCTGGGGTTCCAGATGAGGGGTGCAGAATGTATGCAAAGGTGGGTCCTCTGCCCCCCACTTCATTGTTGCTTTTCAGGAACAAACATTGCAGCAGGTGTCTAGAAAAGAGCAGTCCATTGCTAGACCATAAGCCCCGTGAGAGCAGGGACCACATATGTCTGCTCAGTGTTGGGTTCCCAGAAATGAAAGGGTTAGATTTTCCTTTATTCATACTCTTATTTGACAGAGGCCTTTTGAGATTAGGGGACAAGAATTTGGCTCTCTGCTCGTTGATGGAGGATAAGGGTGTGCTCTTCTTATCCCAGGAGCATGATACCTGTTTCCTATAGTCACTCTGTACTTAAGACATTGTAACTTGTGCATTTCCAAAAAGATGAAAACCATCTTATGCCTCCTTGCTTAATTTCTCCCCCTTGTCCCTAAGATTAGTGGATTTAAAAAGACAAAAAAAAAAAAAACTTTATTGAAGTATAATATATACACAACAAAGTAAATACGTCTTATGTGTACAGTTTGGTAAAATTTCTCAAATAACATTACTCACATAAAGTATGGTTCTTGAGTATTTTGTCGAGTCTGGTGGTTTGGTGTGAGTGAAGGGAAGCAGTGGTGGTGAAGATGGGAAATATTTTATGACTGTGTTTGTGAAAGAGGCAGAGAAGGTGGTTATGCTCATTACTTTTGTTAAGTAGGTGGTATATTGAGTTTGCTCTTCCTGAGCCCACATCAGTTGGCACAGAGGGATAGCTGAAGATTAAAGTTGTGCTGTGGTTAATTAATGCACAGAATTGACTGGATGATACATCAGTGAAGTGCGAGTGACCAGTATTGCACAAGAGGACCAGTTCTATATGTTGAACATTCCCGATAATGATTGTATTAAAACAGGCCAGAGGGAAACTAGATTTCCAGAGTGACAGCCAGTTGTCCTCAACTCGGGCTGTGTTTCAAAATCACCTGCAGGCCTCACTGATATTCTTGTACTCACTGGATTTGAGGTGGGCCCACAAATCTGTGTTTTGAAAAACCACTTGTAGGATGCTCACCCTGGTTGAAAATCCCTGTCTTAAGCAGTGGAAATATGTGCCTGCCCAGATACTTCCATACTTGTAGAAATTGAAAACAAACTCTGACAGAGAAAATAACCCAGGGCTCTCCTCTGAGGCACATGTAAACAGTTCTGTATCTTGTTTATGCATTTTCCCATATTTGCTTTGCACCAGCTTCATCAGAACTGGTATGAAGTCTGATCTCTTTCTCGCCCCACCCCACTCCCTTTTCACTCTCCTTCTCCCCACTTCCCCATACCCCTTGTTCCCAATTCTACAATCTCTCCAGGATTACAAGGCAGAGGAAGACCCAGCAAAATTTAAATCTATCAAAACAGGACGAGGACCTCTGGGACCCAATTGGAAGGTACAGTTCACACTGTTGCCAGCAGGGGGCTGAGCAGGATGTGGGTGGACCTTTCCCACGGGAGGAAGGGAATAGCTGGGTCTGGGCTAAGGAAGAGGCTAAGGTCTGCCTCTTAATTATCTGTCTGCCTGTGGGTGTGTTTCTAATGCAGCAAGAACTTGTAAATCAGAAAGACTGCCCATACATGTGTGCATACAAACTGGTTACTGTCAAGTTCAAGTGGTGGGGCCTGCAGAACAAAGTGGAAAACTTTATACATAAGGTAAGTAGCCAGCCTTCCCAGTGACCTCTGTGTGTGTGTTGGGGGAGGGGTTACCCCTAATGAAGATCATACAAGTACCTCGTACCCATATGACTTGCATCCTAGGGGTTGCAACATGAGAATGTTTCATAGTTTGGTTCCCCCTCTCCCTTGTGCTTGTGGCTGTCTTACGCTTTTAATGCCGTCCATCCCTTGATGCCACATGTCTCAGGGAAGGAAACTGAGGCAAAAGAAGGAAATAGGAAGGGCTTGCTATTAGATTGAATTAGAAATAAAACGGTTTTCTTGAAGCTAAAAGGCCAGAGGCACTGTGAGCTAAATTCTTCAGTGCCTTGAGTTACTTAAGTAGGCAGACCAAAGGAGTTTTATAGCCTTTTAATGCTCTGATGTATTAGAGCCTCACTCTTGGGCCACATTCCATAGCTACGGGCCAGTTTTAACCTGGCTTTGGGCTCCAGAGACAAGGAGTAAACTTAGGAGAGTTGTTTTGGGGCCTTGGCTTGACTCTGAACTCATGGGTTGCCTTTCTTGGTAGTATTTTAAGCAAAGGGCTGGGCTATAAGACAGGCACCCATCCTTTTGGGGGCTTACTCCTATTGGAAGCCATACCTGTTAGGCATGTGAAGGTAAGGGGAAAAAAAGGTCACTAACATATGGAACTTGGCTGATCCACATAAGCCAGCCAGGCATCACTCCTCCCCCACTTGCCCAGTAAAGTGTGGGTATCAGCCCAGAGATCATGGGGAGGTTTGCAGCACTGGCCTTTACCTCTAAGTTCTAACTGGTTTCCTCCTTTTTATAGCAAGAGAAGCGTCTGTTTACAAACTTCCACAGGCAGCTGTTCTGTTGGCTCGATAAGTGGGTTGACCTGACTATGGACGACATTCGAAGGATGGAAGAAGAGACGAAGAGACAGCTGGACGAAGTAAGTGGTAGCGCAGAGGTGGCTCTGAGGCTTTCAATCACATAAACAGGTGAATAGTAAGAAGATGGTCTCTCTGGGGCAGTTCACTGAGGGTACTGTCCTGTAGTTCTAGGAACATGTCAGTACCTGCTCTGGGGAAGGTACAATGCCAGGCAGTATGGGAACTATAAAGAAGGAAAATAGCCTGGGCTCTTGAATTTGCAGTCTAGCTGAGGTTGTGACACATCCACAGAGACAAACACGGCCGTGTGTGCTGAATGCCAAATGCGTAATTGAGTTGCTGCAGTCGTTGTTCAGAGCTCGGGGGGTTTGTGCTGGGCTGCAGAGTTGGAGGTGACCCTGGGAGGAGGTGGGCTGGGCTCATCCAGGAATACCAGGCACATTACACAGAGAGAACAGCAACAGCAAACGCAGAAGCAAACTACTCTGTAAGGTTGTTTTGGGCTATTTTTAGAGTTTGGAACTTTTGCCTTTTTTTTTTTTTTTGCCTTGGCATGGATCCCAGAAGGAGGGTTATCTGTTCCATGGGAGCATGGAGACCCACCACTCCTCCTGCCTCATTTGAGGATGCTTCCCTGCGAGGCACACTTCTTTGGAGATGGTTAATAAATAGGATTCAAGCACTCACTGTGTGCTAGGCAAGGTGCTAGGGCCTTTACATACACCATCTCAGTTAATCCTCACAACAACCCCAGGAGGAGGCACCTTATCCCCACACCTGGGGGAGGAATGGAGGCTCACAGAACTCAAGGCCATGCCCAAGGTCACTGAGCCCACAAGTCACTCGGCCTCCATTTTTCCCTCTAAGTGTTGTTTGAGGCCCTCCTGCCCTCTCAGAGCTAAAAATAAGGCAGGAAGCTCTGTTTACTAAGAACTGCCATCCATTCCTCCCTCCTTACTCCTGGGTGGGTTGGCATGGAGCCTCAGTGTCCGGCAAAGGCATCCTTTCACGACAACTTTGCCCAGCTCTCCAGCAGGATATAGGGTGAGACCCAGGCCTGGTTGCCCACAGTACCCCACGTTACACAGATGTTCCCTGCTCGCTGTGCTGGTCTAGGGTGGATACTGGGCCCAGCAGCACTTCCTTCCTCTGGAGCCCAGCAGGGAGCTGTTTGCCATCTAGGGATGACACTCTCCCTGGCTGACTCACTGGTTCAGTGGTGCACTGACTTGGTTCCTGTTGAAGCAGATGTTTTGGTTATTCATTCAGCTACATTTGGCAGTGAAGTGGCAGGATTTTGGACACGATCCCAGATTTTTCTGCTAAGGATCCTTAGGAAGTGGTCAGTTTTAATGTCCCGGGCCCTGGAGGTTCTGAATATATAAGTGAGATACTAAGCCTTTTGGCCACTCTAGTCCTGACAAAAAAGAAAGGAAAAGGTTACCAAACTGGGAAACATGGATATTTTGCTTGGGGTTTAGCCTGTAGCTTTGGCCACCCACTGCCTGACAAAGGGCTGCATAAAATACCTTGAGGTTCATGAACGTACTTGCTGACAGCCTTTTGCTCTTTGGGAGAAAATCAGGTTCTTGGAGCTGGAAGAACTCGTCAGTGGACCTGCTGGATCAGTTTTCCTCACATCCAGAATTTGACGCCACATAGTCAGGGAGCTCTTTTTTAACTCCTCCCCTTTTCTTACATGTTTCATGGCTCTGTGAAGGATTATGCCAAAGGTATAGCTAATCACTGTCCTCTGGAATAGCTGCAAATGCAGGAAACCCTCTTTGAAATTGGAATTTTAAAACAAATCTACGGTAGAAGAGAAAGCTAAACCAAACCCATGCCATTGTGTGACACATTCAGTGTATTTTTGTGCTAACTGTACCACCCCTGGCTCACTTCTCTTTTTTTTCTTTTTCTAAAAATGTTTTATTAAAATTTTATTGTTTTATTAAAATTTATGATTCCAAGTTGATAAAGAAGCAGCAGTGTTCCTCTGCCCTGAGGTCCTACTCTCCAGATGCAGCCCTTGTAGTTCTTACGGTTGTGTCTTTTGTCTGATGTCCTGTGTATTTTTAAATAAAATGCTGGTGCTCTGAGTTCTTCACTTTTCACCTTTAGATATTAACTGTGGGCTTCTTCCTCAGGAAAAGTTAGGTCTTTTATCCCATACGCTCCCTGCATACAAGCCCTCTCCACACTCTCAATCTGGTTATATCACAGTTTTGGGTTAAACTTTTATATCATTATGTCTTTGTCATTGTTTTCCCCCCACTGACCCATGTAGTCTACTCTGGCATGTGTTCCTGTGTTACACAATTTCTTTTCTCTGAAGTTTATATAATTGCCTTGCTTTTCATTTCATTTTGTGTGTGTATCTTAGGTTTAGTCTTTGCATCTTTATGTGGTTGGTGTGATCTGGTTGGAGGGTGATGTGTCCTCTGTAGTGCTGTTTGCTGTGAGTCCCTTTTCATTCATTTTGTTGCCACTTAGTGGGCACTTTGAGTCTAAAGATCTCATTTCTAGAAAAAAAAAAAAAATTGTATTATTGTCAAGGAGGTCTGGTGGCATAGTGGGAAAGGCATTTGATTGCTAACTAGAAGGTCGGTGGCGCAAACCCACCAGCTATTCCATGGGAGGAAGATGAGGCTGTCTACTTTCATGAAGACTTACAGCCTTGGAAACCCAATGGGTTGACTATGAGTCAACTCCCTGGCAGTGGGGATTTTGTTGTTGTTGTTTATTTACTTGTTATTTTCCTGCCCTCTGTTTTGTTTGTTATCTTTCTGAAATTTTTTGTTAGTCAGAAGTTGGACCTCATAACTTGATCCTCTAATTTTCTCTTTTTCTCTGCTTTCTGGGAGAAATTTTCCTAAGTTTTCTTCCCTCTCTCCTACTGAATTTATAAAGTTCTAAGTATTTCTTGTTCTGTGTTCATTTCTTCTTTTTTTTTTTTAAATAGCTGCTTAGTTTCATTTTTCTGAAGTTGTAGTTTTGCTTTTGTTTTTTGAGATTTCCTTCTGCTCCCTGAATATTCCTTGCTTCCTCTGAGCTGCTTTTTCCTGCTTGTGTTGCCTCTGTGTTTTATGCTAGGGGCTGTCCTTCATAGTCCCTACCTTCCCCCAGCTGATCCCAGGGTCCCAAGTTCAGGCTCCTTTGGTTCAGAAGCTCCAGAGTGAACCTCTGGCTTTTTTTTTTTTTCCTTCAATTTTCGCAGTTTCCTCCAAACCTCTCTGGCTTTTGATGTGACACAGAGGGGTGGTTGGTTAACTGCAATGCCAGGGTCCATCTATCCCTTATTCAGACTTTCCAACCCATCACCTGACAATCCCATCTTCAGAGGTGCTTGGTGCTTCCAGTTCCTGAGCCTTTGGAAACCTGTAGCACAAACTGGTCTGTTCCTTCTTGGCTCCTCATCCTAGCAGGCACAGAAATAGCTGCTGCTGTTCTGCTAATTAGGTGCTACTCACTTGTCCTTTTTTCATCTTCCAGAACTTTGTTGCCGTCTCTTACCTGCAGTTGTCATTTGTAGTGCGTCTTTTGGGAAGGTACAGAGATAAATTCATGTGTTCAGTCTGCCATGATTAACTACAAGTTTGCAATAGAAACCCTGACTGCTATTCTTTTTTTTTTTTTCATTGTGATTTGGGTGAAAATTTACAGAGCAAATTCACTTTCCATACAGCAGTTTACATACACTTTGTCTCATGACATTGACCGTAATTCACCACAATGCAACAGCTCCCCTCCCACTTCCTCCCGGCAGTCACCTCTTCCGGAAGCTGCATCCATCCCTCCATATACCCTGCCCCCTGAGCTGTCTCCCTGTGCATGAACAGCCCTTCTTTCTCCCATGATTGTTCTCTCCAAGAAGTGTATCTACCTCAGGTAAATGTTCAACTCATATGCCTGTCTTTTGTTTGGCTGGAAGCCACAGGTATGGGGTCAATTCCAGACCTGAAGGCCAGCTAGGGCCATAGTCTCAGTGGTTCTACCAGGCTCTATCACACCAGCAAACCTGGTCCCACCCCCCTTTTTTTCCCAAACAATTTTGAGTTTTTTTTCCACATTGTTCTCTCTCTCCATCCAGGATCTCCTACATAGATCCCTTTCTGAGTGGTTGACAGTGGTAGCCAGGTACCATCTAGTTCTTCTGGTCTCATAGTGTATAGGCTGCAGATCACACAGTATACCAGTCGCTAGGACTAATTGTTTCCATGAATCTTTGGTTTTCTTCATTCTTCTTTGCTCTGGACAAGGAAAGACCCATCATTACACCTAGATGGCTGCTTGCAAGCTTGTAAGATCCCAGTCGCTACTCGCCAAAGTAGGACATGGAGCAATGTTTTGTGCAGTATATTATGCCAATTGAACTTGATGTCCCCTGCGACTATGGTCCCGGGCCCACAGGTTCTGACTGTTGTTCTTTAAACCAGTTCATAGTAGTCCAGTACGTGTGGATTTTTTTTGTGAGCTATGAGATGTCACTATAATGAGGCCATAGTCACCACTGCTGTGACTCTGCTTTCTGTGGAAGGTGGATCCACTATTCTTAGATGAGGCTCAAGGATTTGAGAAACAAGCAATCAAGTGATTAGTCCTTTACCCTAAAGAGAAAAATATCAAGAAGTGAGTGCCTTTCTCTCCCCTCCTTTTCTTCTCCTTCCCCTTTGCTCTTCCTCTCTTAAGAAGTCCATAATCTCAGAAGTGGAAGACATCTTAAATAAGGGTCATTTGTTCTTTTTATGTACAGAGCTTGAATCCCCTCTGTACCTTCCCACCAGGTAGTTGTCTTGTCTGTGCTTGATCACCTCTTGTAATCGCCTCACTATCCTGAACATGATGATAATACATACATTTTTATTATTTATTGATAGAAGATAACATTTGTTGAGGTCTTACTGTGTGCCTGTCGTGTACGGCAAGCAATTTACATGTGTTATGTCATCAAATCCTCATGCAAGCTGTGACATAGATACTATTCTCATTTTACAGATAGAGAAATTGAGACTCAGAGAAGTTAAGGCTACTTTGTCATTCACTAACAAGGACCTCCTGG